ATGCGTTGTTCGCTGAAACTTTTTGGAGTAGAAATTATTAATTGTTGAGTTTGGGTTGGTTTGAGATCTTTAACTTTTCTTTACAAGACAAATGTGATGGGTACACTTAATATGTTGGGCCTGGCCAAGAGAATTGGTGCAAGGTTTCTACTAACGAGTACCAGCGAGGTTTATGGAGACCCTCTTGAGCATCCACAGAAGGAGACGTACTGGGGACATGTGAATCCAATAGGCAAGCAGAGAGAAGTTATATTTTCTGGTGTTTGTTTCATTACTATGGTATCAAACCTGATGATTTTAACAAAATGTTCAGGTGTTCGAAGCTGCTATGATGAAGGGAAACGTACTGCTGAAACATTGACTATGGATTATCATCGTGGTGCAGATGTTGAGGTGTGTGTCAACATCAAAGTTTTTGTTTAGCACTGAGTTTAATTTGTGAACAATTTAGATGCTGGATGTTGGTTAGCTGTTTACTTTTATTGCTTCTATTGTCTATGTTCTGTTGAACTTAATGTTCGTCATGTTTGCTTTTAATTCTTTTTCATAGCAGCTGTTCAACTTTAAAAATTCCCCTGTAGTTGTTTTCGATTATGGTTCCAACATGGCAAATGGTTTTAATAAGCCTCATCTTTTTTTGCCTTGAATGCAATATAATGGCTAGGAGGAAAGCTTCTGAACACTTTGCAGGTAATAGAGATTATGGACTAATAATCTTTGCTGTTGAAAACCGACATTCCAAATCATGATTGAGTGGTAATTTTACGTTTGCCACATCCATATTGTGATATTGGTGCTTGTGGATTACAGTTCCTGGAGAATTTTTTTCGACCTGCTTGCACAATTCTAAAATTTGTGGAAGTATATAAATAAGATGAGGTTGATTGTTTTTGTCTGCTTTAGCAATGTAGTTCACAAACCATAAACCTAGCTTCAAGAGTACATGAAGAATAAGGCAAATGATTTGATAAATTAGATGGAGTTGAGCGTGTTCTATTTTAGCAAAGCCATTATTGTGCGTATCCAAGTGGTTTGTCATTCATTGAACACCGTCATGCTCATCGTGCTTGAAGCATCAAGTTTTTTTTAGTACAGGACTCTTCACCTAAGCATATGTATTTTTTTTCCTTTTTTCTTTACATTTTTCTGTAAGGTCAAGCAGGACTTCCCTAGCAACGCTTGTACTGACTCATTATTTTGATTATTACATTTTACAGGTGCGCATTGCACGTATATTCAACACATATGGGCCTCGAATGTGTCTAGATGATGGACGTGTTGTTAGCAACTTTGTTGCACAGGTTTCTCATCATTTTTGAATTGTGATGCCCCAAATTTTGCAATCAGATTTTGGCCTATTTGGGTGTAGATCTTGTGATGAATCGTAAATCTAACGTTAACATCGCTATTTTTCCTGACGGCTATTGTTATCTTATTTAGGCAATTCGTAAACAGCCACTAACAGTGTATGGTGATGGGAAGCAGACGCGAAGCTTCCAATTCGTATCTGACTTGGTAGGTCATCTCTGTATTTTTGGAGAAATTATTATTTTTTTTTGGATTTGACATGCTTGTTTTGTATACTATCTTTTCTGGCTGTTTCACAAGGAGCAAAAGTAAAGTCATGTATCACTTGGTGTTTTTGTGTGTGTGTGTGTGTGTGTTTGTTTTTATGTGATTGTCTTGGAACTATGCAATATTGCATTTTTATACTCCCATGAAGTTCCATGGCTATCATTACCCTGTATGGTTTGTGGAACATTTTGAATCAGGCATTTTTTTGTCTTTCTCCTGTAAATTTTATTCGTCTATGAAATAATAGATTAAACTAAGAAGTTAACTATATCTTTTGCCTCTTAGTTTTCTTTGCTTCCTATGTATCGTGAATTGATGCATTATGGATTATGGATGATAAGCTATCTCTAGGCATCGTGTTCGATTATTGATGGGATTTGTAGTTCTTACTATTTTCTTGCTTAGACCTGCATCCATAGGAGCGTAGTGCAATGTTAGCACATTGCTGCCTAGCTACTCAAATTATGGTGGGTTTTCAATACCTGAATGGCACTTGTACAAGTTTTTTTTTTTGGTTCCCCCAGCCCCCTCCCCCCTTAATGTAGCCTACTTTTACCTGACTGAATTGTTGTGTGTATATCCGTAAAATGAATTTGAAATTGCAACATCTGCTGCATATCAGAGCCCAAAAAAGGCAATATGATGGTAATTATAGCTGGGCATGCTCAAGCTTAGATGTTGTGCTAATGTCAGGTTGATGGTTTGGTGGCATTGATGGAAAGTGAGCACGTGGGACCATTCAACTTGGGCAATCCTGGAGAATTCACCATGCTAGAGCTTGCTCAGGTTTGTCATGCTGGAATTCTCAGTTGCTACAGGTCCTACTGTCACGAGGAGTGGGCTCGTCCCTGGATTTGGTCTAAATGTTTTAGATTGATTTCTTCTTCAAATGCAGGTTGTAAAAGAAACAATTGATTCAAGCGCAACCATTGCATTTAAACCTAACACAGCTGATGACCCTCATAAGAGAAAGCCCGATATTAGCAAAGCAAAGGAACTTCTGAACTGGGAGCCCAAAATATCCCTGCGCGAAGGGCTTCCCAAGATGGTGAGTGATTTTCGGAATCGCATCTTGAATGAAGACGAAGGAAAAGGAAACAAATGAGAACTTCAGAACTAGTATGTATAGAGACTGGAAGCTGGTTGTGCATGTTGTCTATTCCATGAGTGATGATGCGTTGACCTACCTCTTCAAAGTAGTTATTGTTCCCCAAAAGAAACGTTTATAGCATACAAATTTTTAGCTCCATCATTAGGCAGATGTCTCCATTCTTTTTTATCCTAAATCTTGATTTTCCTGGGTAGATGACGTACCTTTGTACACCACCGATGTTAGCTGCACTTTTTTGAAGGTAGCTTCGAGCAATATATATATATATATATATATATATTTTTCACAGATTGGTTGGTTTTGTACACAGACGATGTTGAATTCGGCAAGTTATATATCATTTTCTCGGATTTACGTGAAAAGGAAATAATCGATAGCTAAGATTTTCTTGGAATGGCTGGAAAAAAAATTCCTGGTTCTTGGTTCTTGCTTTCTTTTCTTAAAAAAAAAAAATCTTTATTTCTCTTCGTTTTAGCCTCTTCCTTGATTGAAGACCTTCCGCCAGAAGAAGGCCGAGTACAAAGATGATGGTGGTGTCGAAACTTGAGGACGTTTATCAGCAAGAAAAGGAAAGAAGCAAAAATTATATTTAAAAAAGAAAGCAAGCCGTATCAGAAAGAAAGTGAACAGGAGTCTTTATTTATTTTTTTTGACAAAGAAGGAAAAAAAAAGGGGTGGGGTCTGAAGAAGCTGAAGAGTAGAACATGAGGATAGACATTAAAGAAGAGGAAAAGGAAAAGAAGATCGATCTTTTTCCGTAAAGGAGGAGAAACAAAAGAGTGAATTGCACAATGATCCAAAACTATTATATTATTTCGCTTGAACCCTACAGTTATATCAGGTATATATGCCGGCATTTTTTTTTTATTTTATTTTATTTGTTTTGGGGGTAGACAGGAAATATGTGAAGGAAGGAAGGAAGGAAGGGAGAACCGAAGAAGTGCAAGAAGCGAAGGCGGTGCTCCTAAGGTTAGTATTACTATTTATAAAGGGAATCCGCTTTGTAGTGCAGGCCAAAAGATCGAGCACCAATTCGTTTTCTTTTCGGATCAAAAGTAAAGCTCGAAAGACACAGAGAGAAATGTTGCCCCCCGAATAATTAGCCATGCTGTTTGTGGCCCGCTTTCTGAATCCCATAAAAGTTGCAGAGAACAGAAGGGGGTTCTGACTTCTGAAGAAGGAAAGGCAAGAAAACTTAGAGACGGAATCGTCTTGGGTTCGAGTAGCGGGAGGATAACTGGGGTTTGATGGAAAGCAAAAACCCCCCCCCCCCACCCCAACCCCAACCCCAGGCATCTGATTCCCATCAGCTTTTAAGAGGCGGTCGAAGGAAAATTAAGGCAGAAAAGGTTTTCATTTATTTATGTATTTTTTTGGTTGCAAGTGTAAAAGAAAAAGAATGGACCGACCGACAAAATCACGCAAGCCAGTAATAAGAAGAGAGGTGTAAAATCGAAATTGTACGCGCAGGTGCCATGTTCGAATGGCTCGGAGAGTTAATAATTTGATTCGCGTGCTCTTTTGGCCAACGAGCAGATGGAGCATGTATATATGATAACGCATGCGCAGGTAAAACACGAGATGATGTTCGGTTCATTTGCAACGTTTTCCTTTCTCTTCAAGCTTCATTCATTCATTTCATTGGTGGGATTTGGAAGACAGTAGCAGCAGCAGCAGCATTGAAAACACATTTTTATGCGTCTGTCCTTTGGACATAGCAGTAGTAGTAGTGGTATTACTACCATTTACCAGCTAGAGCTAACCGTTGCGCTGTCTGTCTGGTGATGCTCAGTTGCTGTCTCATGATGGCCCATGCAGTTGAGTCTTAAAATCCGTAGGACAGGGGATGCTGTACTCAAGTCAGAGAAAATTTTGATTGGAACTTGGAACGGGCATATACATAGATAGATAGATATATATATATATATAGAGTACAGTTGTTTTTTTTCTTTCAATACAGAGACACAGAGAGTATCCCAGTTTTATCAGACTAATCTTTCTGCACCTGTGCACCCCATCCCTAAGGATACACAACACAAGTGATAGAAAGGTGACTCGATCACACGACTTCGAGATCTAACTAGACTACCCAAAACTATCTATCTGAGCCAACCCCAAAGGGCTCACAGTACAGTTGTTAAGGTTGCTTACTAGTAGTACATAGATTCTATTTGTAACGAGGCCAAAGCCAAAGGCATAGTTGTTTGTTAATTGTTACTTGGTAGGAGGGGAACGGCCCCTGAATCTTTGCAGGGAGAGTGTCGTCTCCTCGACCACCGGGATCAATTGGGTTTTGCACTAACTTACCAATGGCGATTGATTAACAAACGTAGAATCCATCCTACCATTCCTTCCTAGGTTAGCGCATGTGAATGTGAATGTGGAGGAGTACATTTACATTTATCTTGAAAATGCCATACAACCATTGGAACTCTTGATGTTTTCGGCATCACCTTTAACCGGGAAAATTGTACGTACGTAATTGGTAAATTTTACTACCACATGGAATTGGAAGGGAAGAATCTGAGGGTGGTCCTGCTCCCTCACTATTCTCTTTTTTAATGGATTGGATACCTGCATGTGTTGATAAGGGTAAACAGTAGCAGTACAATCAAATTCCAACTCCTTAATTTATTAATTTGATGAAGAGCCGAAGAGGTGCTGCTGCTGTAGTCCTGTTGTCCTCATTTCTTCCACTTCCTACAATATATCACTGCCTCTCTCTCTCTCTCTCTCTCTCTATCTATCTATCTATCCTCATTTGTTCCACCACTTCTTCAGCCTAATTAAGAGAGTCCTTGATGATGAAGCAACAAATAATGAGCTAGCATCTTCTTTGCCTACTCTTTCTTTTTATCTCTGTCAGTCTCACCCTCTCTTCAAAAGTTGAAATGCAGATTCCCATACCAATAATTATCCATCCATCAACAACAACTCCTCTCCATCATCACTTTTTTTAATACTACTACAGCTTACTAAATAAAAGATGAAAGGAATTGATATATTCTGCGCATCCCATGCTGCAACTTCCATTTCCTGCCTGAGCATGGACGATCCCTCCTCCTCATCCACAATTCATCTCGGCGGCAGCGGCCGAGCAATCGATCGTTATAATCCAATCATCAGAGATCCTAGAAGATTTGGCGGCGGCGGCGGCGGCGGCGGCAGCAGCAGCAGAACTCTCCCTCATGTCCCTTCTTGCTCTTCTCAGACGCCCATCAACCCTAAGCCCTCATCCCATTCCCACCAACAAACTCCTTACCCTCATCATCAAAACAAGAATGGTACTCTGAGTGCCATGAGCAGCTCCTCAAAGCCAAGAAACGAAAAATCCCACGGCAAGAGCACTAATACAAAGAAGAAGTTCAAGATGAACAACAGCAACAGAAGCAGCTCCGCAGCTATAAAGCCGCCATCTCCAAATGATGAGGAAAAGAAAAAGAGCAGCGGCTCCATCAAACCTGCTTCTTCTGTCCACGAGCCCAGTGATTTCCGTAGTAGTACTAGTAGTAGTAGTAGTTTTGGAAATCGGAAAAGCTGGAGTTGCAGTTCCACTAAGGCTCCAGCAGGTGACTTTATCAGCCCACCTGGCTCCTCCCGGTACTTGTTGAGTGATCAGGCTTCTTTCTTCAACCTCATTACGGAAGATTTTGATCCTCTCAACAAATTGCTGCCCCCAGTGGTGGAAGCGGAACCTCCCGTTAATCATTCCAAGCCCAGTAATAGTGATGATAATAATAGCAAGGCCCTGCAAAAAGATGACCAATCCAAGTCTCGCTCCCCGGACCAGGTTCCTCCTCCTCCGAATCCACAATCTCCTTTGCTCTATACTTTCTGTACTAGTAGCACCAGTTTAGTGCATGTTTTGACTGCTGCTGTTAAATCCTTAGTAGTTCATCATATCCATGTAGAGTTCATTCATTACTAGTAACAAATATTACTACTGGCATGCTATTGGAAGAAGCAAAAATTTTGCCGAATTAGAACAAAGAAGGCTTCCTTATTATCAGGTATAAAACCAGAAAATTTAATTTACATATAGACTTATGAATCAGCTAGCATATAAACCAGAAATTTGAAGAATTTTTTTGGGGTAAATAGTAAAAGATACTACATAAGAACTTTTTTTAAAACTTTTAAAATGTTAAGAAGAAAAAACAAATAAATATTTAGAACTTGGGGGGGCGCCCTTGCTTATTATTATACTTGTAAATACACTACTAGTATTAGTACATCGAAAGGAAATGGTAAGGAACCTGTGTGCGTGGGTTGGGGTGGGGACTCGGTGGTCCTCTTATTAAACTCCTTACTATGGATTGGTAGTGATCATGTTGTTCTGGGGTTGTGTGGGGTACGATCTGTAAATGCATTTTGTTTGCAAATTGCAGGTGGTAGTTCTTAGAGTTTCGCTGCATTGCAGAGGATGCGAGAGAAAAATGAGGAAACATATCTCCAGAATGGAAGGTACACATACATACATATATACATATATATATATCCATTTCACTGTTACGTAATTATCCCTTTTTTTTTTGTGGGTTCAATTTCTCTTTCTCTTTTTCCAGTTTTCATTTCATGGTTCTTTTTTAATTCGCAACCAAAGATGAGCCAAAATTTAAAAATTTAAAAAATTTAAAAAAAAAACACACACACACACAAAAAGAAAAAAGAAAAAAGAAAAAAGGGGGTCACTCAAATATTGAACTTAAAACCTTTTGATCATCTTCACAATAATGACTGATCAACTGGCTGGCTGTTAGTGTTGGGTGGTTACTTGGTCTCTGTCTTGATTTATGAATCATTAGATGTGCATGTTTATGTGGTCACCACCTGCTCCCTGACCAACTACTACCCAACAACATGTTGTTGTTGTTGTTGTTGTTTTTGTTTCACGGGCTTCAATTTGCCTAAAGCCCAACAGTTCCAGAAATCATTACATCCGAATTCAGTCAAATTCCACCCGGGCATAAAAGGACATATTGTTATATGTACCGAGTATTTGTACTGATTTTGTTCAAGATTACGCGAAAGTTACAGTTGATGAAATCAGTAAACAACAGCCATGACTTGGAAAGTGAGAGTTTAGGATGTTTCGTTTTTCACCCCCTCCTTTTCGTGGTGTCTATTCTGTCCAATTTTCATGAATTAGACGAGCAAACTGAGGAGCAAAGATCAAATTAACAATCCAAAAGACAGGACAATTAGGCCTAACATTCGGGCTAAACTGAGGTTCCAAAATCATATTTGAGCTCCTTGACTAAACGCCCAAAATTGTAGAACTAGCAAGTTGTGTAGTCCTCACGGAAGCATCTTGTGAGACGCGCGGTTGTTCTTTCTTTTATTTATCTATCTTCTGCGGCTATTCCAGTATTGATGAAAGTCGAAGACATGACATGAACAGGAATTTGGTGGCTGTTGTAACAGGGGTGTCGTCTTTCAACATAGACTTCGCGGCAAAAAAGGTGACGGTGGTCGGAAACGTGACGCCATTGGAAGTCCTGGCTAGTATATCAAAGGTGAAAAATGCTCAATTATGGACCCCTGCAGCTGCAGCTGCAACTGCTGTGCCGCCTTTTAGTCACACTAACTCGTCGGAGATCAACAGAAATAGCCAGACTACTCTCCTTTCGCGATGAATCAGCCACTCCTCTTTCGTAGTATTCCGTGTCTATCATGAGATGAAATATATTCAGGGGGCAAGAATCATGACGGTGGTGTTAAAAGTTAGAACTAGTCTCTTCATGCGTAATCTGCAATGTCTAGAATCAATATATGTACGAGAGACTGCATGGCAGGATTGAGGTTTGAGACTGTATATTCCGATTTTATTAGATTTGCTTTATTTACTGGCTGGTATAAGAATGACATATGCAGAATGGATTTTAATTTCAAGTAACTATGACCACAAAAACGATAAATTATATTGATTGAGATGATGCTCCTTCCGTCTCATAATTACAAACCAACTTATGTAGAGAGTGTGCCATTATGGTAATGTGGGATGAAACTACAATACTTAGATTTTAAATTTTTGAAGATTTCAATGGTATGTGAAATGTCTACCTTTTGAATGGCAAAATAGGGAAATTAATATTTAATTTTTAAAAGATGACTTGTATTAGGATATCCAAAAAATGAAACATAACGTTAACAATAAGATGAAAAGAGTAATTGGCTACCATACCATAAAAATAGAGAAAGATTTCGAATGGCCAAAACAAGAAGCACAACTAGAAACAAAAGCGTGGTTTTTTGCTCAAAAATTGAAAAAAATTAGAAAATTTCCGACCTGCCGGATTCGAACCAGCGACCTAAGGATGGCTTTGAATGTACCACTACAGTCCTCCGCTCTACCAACTGAGCTAAGGTCGGGCTGTATCGTATGATTGAGCTCATTTTATAATATTATCAGTAACAATAGAGATCCAACAGGTTTAATGAAATGTTACGATTACCTTTTTCATACAATAATAATTGTAGTAAATATTATTCAAAATTTAAAACAAGGTTTATCTATGATGGAATGATATAGATTATTAGATGTTAATACCATTCACCAGGGATCCAAATGCAAAAAACCTTTTTTTACTTAATTACAGCAGGAATATTGGCCGATGTGCCAGACACACTATCAAAGGCAAATTGTATCAGCAATTTCACAGACCCTTTGTCTATACGAAAATCAATGTTTTGTTATCATATTAAAGTGTAGCAAAACAGATTCTTCTCTGAGAAAATTACAAGAACATAATGTTTGATTACGAGAATTTGTGCATTATAGTAATAAAGTCCTGTAACAACAGATTATACTTGGTGGAAGCATGTTGGAAACTGGAAAATAAAGTACACTTCAAAGGGAATGACGGTCAGAGGAGAGCAGGAAATGGCTCCGCAATTAAAAGCTCAAAGCTTCCTTAGGCTCCCCTCCCTTCATAGATTAGGATGGAATATGTTATACCGTTGCTGAAAAAAAAAAATTAAAAGCAATAGACCCTGACCCTGAAACCCTATATGTTTGAATTTAACAACTGGATTGCAATGAATCCGCAGATACTCAGATAAGCATTCCAACCAAGTGGATGCCTCGGCTCTCATGCATCGTGAATCCGACCAAATATGAGCACGCACTAACTTCCTCATTCTAGTTCGGAAACTAGTGCACCAAATGCGGGCAGAATACTGAGGCCACACTTGGCAAGTAATACTAGAACGATGTTGTGCAAGGATTGCCATTTGAGACACGCCGCAGCCGGCCTTGAAAGAGAGAGTTTGCGGCATGCGAAGGACTGCTGTACTTACTTTTTGAGTTGAGTCAAAAAGGTTCAGGCACAGATGCAGGTGCCCCCAAAAACGGACTACTACTATAACAAAATTGATTGTAAAGATCTTATGTAACGTCTTTTTAAAATTATTAACATTCTGCTAAACAAAATATTCCACCTATGTCATCTGTCTTTGTAGCTGTCAAACTAGACGAGTTTTGCTTCAAAACTCTACAAGGCTAAAACCTCTCCTATTAGGTCATCTATCAACAGTTTCTCAATTTCCTTGCCGATCATATCAATATCATCTCTGAATCCTAACCAATTCATCTCCCTGTCCAGCCTATTTTCTGGTCTATCTCCTCTCACATTATGCTCTCGGTTAGCTAGCAACTTAATTAAATAATCTTTGACCCCATGCGTTTGCCATTTTGATGCTCCAATAATTTTTGGCTGCACCCTAGGACGTTGGTCCGCATGCTTCTGGAAAATCTCAAGAAGTGCAGAATTGATGCGGTCAAACAATAGCCTCCTTTCAAACTTCAGATCGCTTGTCTTTCCACCATACTTCTTCTCAAGATTGGTGAAGACCCAGGGACCTAAAGGGCACTCGGGAGAATGCCATGACGCAAAGGATGTATCAGAGTCAAACTCCTCAAGGCCAGAGTAGAGAAGTGTGTCAACTATGTATGAAGACTCCCAACTGTCACCTCCAACAAAGCTTTTCTCTTCATATTCCACTATTGGTTGCTGCAGCATGACATCCTTTTCGCTTGGGCTAACCACAGTTGCACCACCATAACTGCCTGATTCGATCTTGAGGAGCTGCAGCTGCATTCGGAGTACTAGCAAAAATAGCAATAAAGAGAAATTAAAAATGGAAAAGCAATTAATATTATCAACAAACCATAACTGCATGACGTATGATGCCAGTTAATGTGTGCTTTTCATCATTGTATTTTATCACAAAAGAAGCTGAAAAATCCTTTTGATTTGTAGACTAGCCTGGATTTGCTTTTCTGAAGCAGATTTTGGACCAAAGAACCTCATTAAGTTTTTTCAAACAGCTATACCAATGACACGAGAAAAAACCAACACAACATGTTGATCTATTTAAATGATGCACGGTTTTATGTTTGTGAGACTAGAGGAATAGCCTGACTGGATGCTACTCTGAAAGGATGGACAAGATTAAGATCAAAAACCTTTTGACTGCAAACTTTACAGTTTAAGACAGACAAGAGAACTGAATTTGAGAACAAATAACAAGTAGCCATGGCCAACAGATGACTCTGCCATGACTTTTAAATAAGGAAGGGAGACAAATGTAACAAACTTTTGCTAACAATTAAAAACGATATGGAGTGACTCATTGATTGTCGATAAGATACTAAACATAGTTTCAGAAACATCTAATTACCATTGAGTTGAGCATTGACAGTCTCAAAGCAGTCTGAGCTAGATGACAAATCCTCCGCAAAAGAAACCTCCAAAACTGAAACTGGACTAAGATGATCAGCCTCCTTGGAGCTCTCTGAAGATTCTGGTTCAGGTCCAAGGCACTTCAAGGAGGAGGTTCGTTCAGACTGGCCCAGCACTGATTCCTGAAACAACATTAAATATGAGGAAAGTTTCTTCTGCACATGCAGTATCCTTTAATTTATGGAACACAATAAGTAAATACAAAAATGTGATTTCTACAAAAAGACCCTTTAAAGAAGTGAATGTATCATCGTCTTCAAACTCGTCCAAAGAGAAGGTATCAGTAAAGGTAGATTTTAGATTCATTCTCAGCTTTAAAATAAGCTAAAAGTGGGAGTAAAATCCCAAAGAGAACACCAAAGTTGAAAAGAATTCGTGTATGTAGTTCTTAATGCACTTGACTTTCAAATTAATACTACCAAGGAAATATAGAGAACTGGAGAAGCTTGATCCAGTTCATAAACTCCAAGATACCACCTATTATCACAAGAAAAGGTGTGCTTATATTTAATTACCCAAAGGGGAAAAAGAAGACTTTTATTTAAGTAGAAAATGCATGAAAAGCTACTGATTCAAATGTTAAACAACCATGCTTTTTCATCCATAGATGCAATGATTAACCTTCTTTGTTAGTCTTCAAATGCAAGGAAAATAGTAATTGAGAGGAGCACATTTATGAAATCGAGACAATGCAAAATGAAACCACAAATTAAAAATATCATTTGCCAATGTATTTAAAGCAGAAAAAATTTAATGACTCTCCGATTTCCATGTAATGAATATTCATAAGGTTCGTTGCAGTAAATATCTCATTAGCAGATTTTCTCAGTCACATGGGTATTTACGCTCCCTTTTTGCGAGGGGCTAAGCATGTTTTTCGACCAATTACCACCAACCAACAGTGAGGGCATCAAGACAGCCAGCAACATGTGAATTATGTAATCATCTGCAGTTTACTATGCACCAGTCAGAGATGAACAATCCATTGCAAATAAAAAGGAACCAAATATTTTCGGGAAATAGAAGTGGAATAATCTATTTGCCTCACATTTCCAACAAATGCAGTTATTTATGGAAGTAAAATAATAAAAGATTAGCAACTAGGGCAATGCAGTTTACATCTTGCAGGCAACATAGAAAGTGTGCCAATATGGTATAGCATTTAAAATAAAGAACTCAAGGAAATTGATTAGAAAGCTATCATGCAGACCTGTAGATTTGCATCTTCTTGGTCACAAGCAGCAGAATCATCATTTTCTTTTGTAAAATCAGTAGGCTCAGGTTGCACATTGAGAGAGGAGTCCAAGGACGACAAGCTTAAGCTCCCAGGTTTTGTATTTGTCAGTTCATCACCGACAAATTTTCTAAGGGAATCAGCAGTATCAGGTGTCTGGCAATGTATCAAGTGTTTTTCATAGGGATCCTCTTTACAAGCACCGATGTCTGATTGAATCAGGTTGGAACTCATATTTGGTGACAAGCCACTGTCATTACCTTTGCTATAACAGGCGAGAGATGTCCTAATACTTGATTGAACATCTTTGGCTGAGGTTTTGTCTTTTTTACTAGGATTTCTCTTCCTTTCTTTAATTCTATCCCTGTATAGTTTCTCGTTCTTTACCATATCACTCAAAAGAGGTTCATGCCTTCCATTTGTTCTATATATTCTGCTTGCAACTGGGGAAGGAGGAAGAGATCTTGATCTAGACGAATGTCTGATGCATCCATCATTCCAACCATCCCTACTGCTGATACCTAAAGGACCACCCCAGCCAGAACTATCACTACTGCCAGCAAATCCTTCACTGGCTCCATCCAGACAGATTGCAGCATTAAACTCCTGCACAGTTTCCCTCTCGGGTACAGCAAGCATTTCACCTAGTGTGCTACCCTTAGCAATTGGTGCAAAACTACGAGACTTGTGAGTCATCTTCCACCTCTCAGACAATCTCTTTTTCGCTTCTCTACTTACCACGGATTCATATGGACCAGATGATGAATATTTGATCCTGTCATTGGCATCAAACGAATTTCTGGAAGACAGAGTCACCACCTCTGAAGCACTGGAAGAGTCACTTTCATACGCATCATATGAACTCTCATCTCCCGCATATCCTCTAAGTCCACCTGACAATTTAAAATGCTCTGCCATTTGTCTTGTGATATCCTTGGCAATCTTTCTATCTT